CTGCTATGCTCGGACTATCAAAATAAGTTGTGTTGCAGCTATGGTGCCGTGCAAGGTGCAGATGCCAGTTTGTGAGGCTAAGACGCGTATTAAACAGTAATGAAAAGCAAGATAATAAGCCAAATGAGCGCCAAGGGACAGTGATAATCTGATAAAGTAAATATTTAGCATAATATTTCAATATATGCGTCGTATCAGTTCTGACTGCTGGGTGTTGTGTGCGTGCTCGGAGCTAAGCGGAGCAGTATTTAAACATATAAGAAATAGGCGTGTTACACACGACTGTTGCACATACGGGTGAGAGCCACCTGCACCGTGCAGCTAAGCAGCGTCCTCTCCCTAAACTTTAACACACGGGTTTGCATTAAATTAATGAAAGATACAGCAGATTGTTGAGGTGAAGCGTGAGCGTTTTCGAGGAAAGCGGATTTTACTGCGTATCAGCAAAATCTCGTGGGTGAAAAAAAATGATGAGAAAGAATTTGCGCAAATATGTTTCCTTGCAATTGGTTCTGATTAAGACGCTTGCCGGGTTTGCACCGAGGCTCCACCTTTTCGAGCGGTTCAGTGACCTCAGCAGTGGGCTGGATTGTAAGGGTGGGATTTCCAGGCTTTCACACTGCTGGGCTTTGTAAGGGTGGGATTTCCAGGCTTTCACAGGCTCTGTGTATTACTGCCTCTGTCTCAGGATCTATGCAGCTTCAGCGATAGCGAGCACGGACTGCGTGTACCTTTCACGGCCATAGAGAGGCACATTCACACACCACACTGGAGCTCCCTTTTCTTCTTCTTCTCTACATGCGACTCCAATCGGAATAAATAATTAAGGAATGTGGAAATTACAGAATGCCCAACAGCGTTGGAAAGAGATTTAAACCCACCAAATACATCCCAGTGTCCACTGCTGCCACACTCCTGGTGGGATCGACCACTTTATTTTTCGTTTTCACGTAAGTTTGCACATTGCTTCCTCTTGATCTCATTCGTGTGTGCAGGGATTTTTTTCTTTCCTTCTTTCTCTCTTTTTTTCCTTTTACAAACTCTGCGCTTCCCTCAGATTGACACGGACACAGGGTGGATAGAGTCACATAGGTGGGATAAGTGGGTTTTATAAAGACAATCCCCTACTGCTGAGATGCAATGAAAAAAGCAGCTCTCTGTGCAACCTCGGACACGCCATTCAAGTTGACAGGTTTTATATTTCAGAAAGGACAGATCCCTACTGCTGAGCAAGACAATGAATGAAATAAATGAATTAAGTAATAACGACGCTCTGCTTGTGCAAATTCACCTCGGACACGCCATTCAGCTGCAAAACCTGCAAGGCATATCATTACCATCATGTAGTCCTATTGCAAGTTGAGCCTTTAACAGACTGCCATGCAACTACACACACACAGCCTGTAAACTGAATCCGTGGTGAGTGGGAAACCCTGCTACCTTGAGCGTTTTGCCAGCCATAAGGCCGTGTCAACTACACTCCTCCCTGTCATAATAGACTGAAAGCCAGAGGCAGGTATGACACATATTTTTTATGTACTTATCATCGGTTTGTGCATGCTGGTCCACATCTCATGCAGGTAAAAAAAATTAACAGTGACTGTGTTTAAGAGATACTTACAGAAAACGTAGAAGGATGTCTGATTCAATTGCACATGTCTGTGCCCTCTTACTATGTCGTGAGCGGCAGCGGAGTTACACGCCTACTGGTCCCAGTCTTGACCGTTAATTGTTGGTAGACACTTCTGACTGCTAAAAAATCCACACACGCACCACACGTCATTTAAATCAGCATCTTCTGATTGATCAACCCACTCTCCAACCTGAGCCACCCAAAGAATATGCTCTTTGCCCTTTAAATCATGTGTTAACTCAAAATCAAGAGTCCAAATACACCTCTTTAAATCCAGGGTGCAGAGATAAAGGCAACTATTAAACACGCACCCACGCAGGGTAGTCTCAGGTAGTGGTGTGCGGATTGATACTAAAATATCGATTCCTCTGATACCAGCCATTTATGGTCTAGAATCAATTCTCATATTAAAATATCGATATTTTAGTAATTTAGGGTAAATTTGTAGTTTATCATTAACAGGAACACAGTGGAAAGAAACTATATAATTCGGATTGTCTACATTGGAAGGAACTACTTCCTCTTCCGCCTTTCATAGTCATGTGCGAAATACAGCTGAATAAATGTGTCCAGCTCCTTGGAACGCACACTCACAACAATGGCTGAGCGTAAATGGAGTCATCTATGGACACATTTTACCTCCACAAACAGCCGAGATGTGGTTTGCGATACATGTGGCAAGACAGTGAGGTGTTGTGGCGACACCACTAACCTCCTCAAACACCTCAGAGTAAATCATATGACAGAATATGACGAGTGTATGTTGAGGCGAACTGAAGAGGAGGACAGGGACAGGTGCTGCTAGGGCGAGACAGACGTCTCTCACGGAGTCCTTTAGTGCTGCAGGCAGGCAAGATGCTCAAATAGCCACAACTTCAGGTTTTTTATTTCTATATGATAATTCTGCATTATTAAATGATAACAAGTAATCTGATGTCCCATAATCATTATGAAGCTATAATTTGAGATACAGTAAAAGATGCAATAAATAAAATAAGTTTTTGTACAAAGTATCGGATCAGTATCCTCGATACCATCCTGGATTTTACTTGGTATCGGATCGGAAAGGAAATGAGTGGTATCGCACATCACTAGTCTCAGGCCAGTCCCCCAAATAATATGCTTTATATTTACCATTAAATTTATTCTAAAACACTGATTATTGTGTTGATCTGTATTGTGTAGCTGGCCTAGCCCTGCAGTGGTAAAACCACGACTCAGGATGCAGCATCAGACTCCCGGCTCTCCTATCAGCGGCCTGATGTCCCCCACCGGCCGCTTCAGCCCCGCTCGGCACGCTGCCTCACCGGACTTCAGCCCCAGCCGGTACAGCCCTGCCAACATTAGCTACATTCAGCGCCTCAAGCACTTGAACGAGCCGTCAGTTTAACTGCACCCACCTCCTGCGCTACAATGCAGCCATACCCTCTCCAAGCCCTGCCTTCTCTCACACACCCGAATCCAGCTGTACAGAGCTGGCTACACCAGAGCTCAGAAACCACAAACCTAACAGAAATATGCACAAAGTGTCTGGAAGATTTGTATTAATGATGTATGGTACGACTCCTACGTAACACAGGAATTCTCATCACAGTTAGGTTGTGATGTCAACTCCAGACTTTAAAAGGTAAAAAACAAAACAAACCTTGATAATTTATGTACTGTATGGGTGTGGACCATGTTGAATTGACGGTAACGTTATTTGTGGCAAGTGTGAAGCACCTTTATCATAGCCTGACTCAACTTTTATGAATATTGTGAACACAAGCCACACCCCCCAAAGTTAGTTGATCACTAAAACTTTAGTGAGGGATCCTAAAAGGATTGTCACTGAAGATGTTCTTAAAAAAAATTAAAATGTCAATATTTTAAAAATTATTTTTTGTATGTTGGTCAGTAGCACAAAATTTAAATGTTTTTATTAATGGTGTTAAAACCGACTGCCATTTCCTATGTTCTTTTTTTTCCCCTCAGTTCAGGAATTGCCTTAATTTTCTGAAGTGATGGACCAGCTCTCTGTCAGTTTGGACACATTTCCTCTAGCTCATACATGAAATGTATGGAAAATAAAGCAACTGAGATCTTCCATGTTTTTATTTTGTCCTTCAATAAATTCAAACAATTTCCATCTTTTCTCGGTAGTTCCTGGACATATCTGGACTTTTTCTTTCTGTCGCTGTTGGCGGCCTTAGAGACTGTGCAATTTTTTTTCTTTATCTTTTTTCTGGAGTATCTTTTATGGGCAAACATCTCCTACAATGTATGAATGACAAAACACACCCATCAATATAGTATTATTTCAGATTTGGCTAGTGCCTAGTGTTGCGATCACTTTAAAGCTGTGTGAAGTGATTTGTAACCACTAGGGGGCGAGAGACTCAAAGTAACTTGATAGGGTTTCTATGGCCTGTTACGACTGTCTTGTTAATGAAACTGCCTTATGATACAGAGAATACAGATTAGTTGAGAGCTGCTTAAAATATGAAGTTGATTAGCAGAACATGCGACCCTCATGATAGAATTTGATTTTAACAAAGTGCTAAGTAGAGCTTTGAGGCCCAAAATTTCAGTAATCCCTCAGGTGGTAAAACTGACTTCAAGTAAACTTGTGTAGATAACGGCAAGTTCTTGCAGTCCTCCAAAAACCTGCTGTATCCAGTCTGTATTGTAGGGATAACATCACTGCTGGGTGAGGGCTTATCAGCTGTGTCTAGGACTAAAAAGCCAATTATCCTGAATATTCAGATGGCCACTCGCATTTAAAGAATGTATTTTTTGTGTGAACTATACCTTTATCCGAGAGCACAAACTACTTCAGTGCGAAGATTGTGTCGTCATCCTCGTGTTCTCAGATGACAACAGATCTAATTCTGGTTTCTGAATGTGGAACTTTGCAAAAATGTACCTTAAAAAAACTTAACATGCTTCTTGTGCTTTTAGCATTCTGTGCTTTATTAAAACTTAACTTTCATGGTGAATTCTTTCTGTATGTCTAGACCTCATTTGCTTTCAATTAATCAATAAAAAACCCTCACTCTTACTTTACTGTTAATGTATCCACTTATTTCATTGGCTGTGTTATCAGTAAAATAAGAAATGTGACAAGTTGTGCATTCATGATTTTATTCACTACAATGGCACCACAACATAATCCTGAAATGTTAAGCTAATAGCATGTTCAACAGCTTTACAAATATTTATTTTTTTGGTTTGAAAAAAATGAGTCACTTGTGTAAAAATTCTTCATTACATTCAGGAGGAGTTGCTATGCAGCTGTTAATCACTTCTGCTGGCATCCTATGGCACTGAAGTAACAACACCACCACAAAGTCTCTGATAACATCAGAGTTCAATTACAAAACAACACCATAATTTATTTGAAGACACTTAAGGAGAAACATTTCATGGGTCAGCCCATCAGGTCCGTGTTAGTTTGTCTGCGGGCATAAATCCTGCATCTCCAAGAGTCCTGAGGGCCACCCTACCGCTGGGGCGGATGGTAAGCCATGTGATGCTGCCATTATTCAAACCCATGCGTAACCAGCCCTCTGGAGGAAACTGAAGAGCCCTGAGGAATAAAGAATATGATAAGTGTTACCAATATCAACTTTTTCCTTTCTTTTTAAAAAAAAAAAAAAAAATTGGATCGTGCAATTCCTTAACTAATATCTTGATTTTTTTAAACTATTTTTTGTCAGTTATTCAGAGGATAAACTGAAGCTCACTCAAACAGATCTAAGGGAATAGGAAAAGTGTTCTTCAGTCAGTGACTTTAGGACTGGGACAGAACATCAATACATCAATATACCACAAGGCCTCCTCTTGTAACGCATCAATACACTGGCGCCAAATCTCTTCCTGCTAACAGATTCCCCCACCTTAACAGAGGTCCACAGTTGTTGCAGTGGAGCTTATCAGATAAGTGAGGGTTAACTAAGCAAATGTTAACCAATTTCCAGTGAAGAAGAAAATCTCAGGGGTAAAATGTCTTGCAGTGTATTGTGTAATCTCAGTATCATGTCAGCATGGGCAATATCTTATGCAGTGGTGGGGAATAATTATTGGATCCCTTGCTAAATTTGAAAGTCTGCCGCCCCCCCCCAAAAAAAGTCTATAACTTTTATGATAATTTACTCTTTTATAGAGAAAAATGCATACAAAGAATACAGAAAAAGGAGGGATTTTGTTCCACTCCTCTTTACAGAAACTTTGTAAATGCTTCACGTTTCTTGGCAACTCAAAGCTTCAGCTCAGATTTTCTACAGTGCTGAGATCGGGAGACTGGCTAGGCCACTCCATAATCTTTATAGCCCCTTTTCCATTATACCTACTCGGATCGACTCGCCACAGTTTTCAGGGTTTTCCAGGTGATCCGAGCAGGTACTAAAATGTGACGTCAGACGACATGCCACTGATTGACTGGTCAGTAGCAGGCGCTTCCTTGTTGCTATGCCGGTATGTTTTGGAGCATCGTTACGCTGGAAGACTGATTCACAACCCATCTTCAATATTCTGACTGAGGGAAGAACACTATCATCCAAGATTTCATAGTACAAGGCCCTGACTATTTGCCCCACGATGCAGTGAAATCTTCCTGTACCCTTAGCAGAAAACCAGCACTAAAGCATGTTTCCTTATAAATTCATTTGCATGTCATTAAATGAAATAACTTTTTTAATGAGAGCACAATGACACAAGTGAAGCACAAATTAGAAATCCTATGTGAAATGGCTTGAATACATCGATTAGCAAAGCAAAGAGCAACAAGTCTGGCCTCAGCTGAGCAGCGACAGCACAAACCTGCAGACAAAATAACGGATGACATTGGCATGACACACGATGATCTCGTAGCTGTCCTCCTTCTGTTTGGGGTCAGCCCGGTGGATGTAGCGGCGGAAGGCTGCCTCAATGCGAGCTCCATCTTCGTGGTACTGCTGGAGGACAGTAGAAAGGTTGAAAGCCACCTTTGTCACATAAAAGGGTTCTGTATGAACCCCAAAGCAGAGTCAATGCATGTGTGCATTGTAGGAATACATGAAGAGTTTTATTCCAAAAAGAAGCCCACTATGTGGCAGATGTAACAAACGCTAGATCAGGGGTCTCGAACACATGGAAAAGCTTCAGGACAGCAGCCCTCGAGGACTGGAGTTCGAGACCCCTGCGCTAGATCAATACATGAAACTGCTGCAGCAGCACTCCGGTCTCTAAAGAAATGTAATAGCTTATCTTTACTTTCACATTAAAAATCCATCTTTATAGGATTGTTCCTTTGTCAACAGTTACCAGCTTGTTTAAAGCATGTGAATATATACATAATGACACAAAACCAGACTGAACAGCTTCAAGACTCCTCATTTCCAATATTTTGGAAATTAACTCTTTTCATGATTCATTCCTATGCCAGTGCACTGATGTATTGGTTGACTTTCGCACCCGTAAGCCTCAACAAGCACTTGACAGGACAACTGCACAGACACGTGGGCAACAAAGTTACCTTAGGTATCAGCAAATCCGGGGGAAAAAAAAAGAAAGAATATCAAACCTACAGCCACTCCAGAGATGGAATGGGCTGTAGGTTCTCTCACCACAGCGTCAGGCTTCCAGTGAGTGACAGGTGGAACCGGTTCAATAGGCGCACCTTCTCGCAGCAAGTCACATCTCACCAACTCCACTCCTGGACCCACAGGGACATAAGAACAACTTCAAGTTTAGAACTTTTAAACGTAACATTTTCAGAATCTACCAAACGTGAGTCTATGTGGTTGGCTGTGTTGCCTTTTCTAGTTACCTGGGAGGTATTTACTGATTATATTTGCTGTCTCCGTGGCCCTGGTCATGCTGGAGTGGATTAACACGTCATACTTCAATCCAAGTGCAGCCAACCTTTGGCCAGTCAGCTCGGCCTGTTCACGGCCTGCGGATGGAGAGACACTGATCATTCCAACAATGCTCTGTCAGAAACAAGGAAAATCTGGGGGTTGGGGGGTATGAGCAAAACAAACAGCCCCAGCACTCCCAAGGCTACCTCCCAGCATTACTTTGTATGCAGGCTGCCTATTACGTTTCCTGTGGATAAAAACAAGAACGACTAACCTAAAGGAGTGAGGATCTTCTCCTTGTCACTATTCCCGCTCAAGTTGTACTGGGAGTGTCTGATGAGGAGGATGTTGCGTGTAGCTTTCGGTTTGCTGTTGTTCTGCTCCGAGGTGGGGTCTTCGGTCGCATTCTCCTTCTTCTTCCCGTTGGTCAGAGCAGATGGATCTCTCCTGGTCAAAGTTCAAGCGTAGTGATTTTGAGATTAGAAGTGGCTTACTGTCTCACGTAAGAGCTGGAAAAGTGGGTTAACGTAACTGACTTTAAATCTGCTTGGGAATAACACCCACGCCTGACCGACTTTTAAAGAGTTAAAAAACAACAACACTTTTTTGGCCATCGGCAATGCAAGAGGACTTTAACGGTGTCATAAGTCATTATGCTCATGTCTTTCATTCGGGAAACACCTCGACTGCCAAGTTATGGTGATGCCTGCTTCAGTCCGTTACATAGCAGCTTGGTCCCGTTTGGTATGACGTTCAATATAAAAGGTAGAAAAGTGGATGAAATATAACGGTGGCAGCCACGTCAGAACAAACAGCGGGTCACGGCACAACACATGCACGTTAACTTAAACTTACTTGTCCCAGTTGAAGTCCCAGGCGTGTCCGGTCGGGGTTGGCGTGTGGCTGGCAGGGGTAAACGCCGGCTGGGCAGCTTGAAGGACGGTGAATCTCGACCACCGACTGACCCTCTCTCCGCCCTGCTCTCCAAAAAAACCGCTGGAGTCGGCGGCTGCGGCAGCGAAAACCAAGACTGCTGAGCCTCCAGCGAAGCCGCAAATAAGTTTCAAAGTTTTCCTGAATGACATCCCGCGAGCCGCCGAACAAGGAAACGAATGCTAGCTAATTAGCTGTGCTTAACAGTCGCGCTATTAACAAAGTGCACCCCGCCTCTGCTGTTGTTAAACGGGTCTTTGACTTCTAATTCCAACTTTACAGCAAGGAACAGAAAAAATATCCAATATGTTCTCTAAGCGCAACTACCTGCTGAGCTCCGGCTGTTGGACGGATACTAAAAATACAGTCGATACAAGCGAAAGCAGACTAATCAGTTTCCTCTAAACTTTACGGTGTCCCACATGAGCCAAAACAGTCAGCCTTCGCTCTCCCGCTTGAAATATGGGATTTTGTCGCGTGAGGGCGCACAGCTCCCTAACTTCACAGTAAGGTCCACAGCTTGGGCATTTTGTGCTCCGTTGAATGAAGAGGCTCTGTGAACTCCATTCATTCTGCACCATTTCACTATAAAATCATCGTAGGAGCCGCACATAATTTCCTCCCTTACAAGAGCTCGCTCCTGCCTATCGTCAGTGCTGAGGGAAAAATAATAAGGATGCTGAATTTAAGAGTGGAAGCTGAGTCGTTGGACAAATCAGTTCTGACTGCTGGGTGTTGTGTGCGTGCTCGGAGCTAAGCGGAGCAGTATTTAAACATATAAGAAATAGGCGTGTTACACACGACTGTTGCACATACGGGTGAGAGCCACCTGCACCGTGCAGCTAAGCAGCGTCCTCTCCCTAAACTTTAACACACGGGTTTGCATTAAATTAATGAAAGATACAGCAGATTGTTGAGGTGAAGCGTGAGCGTTTTCGAGGAAAGCGGATTTTACTGCGTATCAGCAAAATCTCGTGGGTGAAAAAAAATGATGAGAAAGAATTTGCGCAAATATGTTTCCTTGCAATTGGTTCTGATTAAGACGCTTGCCGGGTTTGCACCGAGGCTCCACCTTTTCGAGCGGTTCAGTGACCTCAGCAGTGGGCTGGATTGTAAGGGTGGGATTTCCAGGCTTTCACAGGCTCTGTGTATTACTGCCTCTGTCTCAGGATCTATGCAGCTTCAGCGATAGCGAGCACGGACTGCGTGTACCTTTCACGGCCATAGAGAGGCACATTCACACACCACACTGGAGCTCCCTTTTCTTCTTCTTCTCTACATGCGACTCCAATCGGAATAAATAATTAAGGAATGTGGAAATTACAGAATGCCCAACAGCGTTGGAAAGAGATTTAAACCCACCAAATACATCCCAGTGTCCACTGCTGCCACACTCCTGGTGGGATCGACCACTTTATTTTTCGTTTTCACGTAAGTTTGCACATTGCTTCCTCTTGATCTCATTCGTGTGTGCAGGGATTTTTTTCTTTCCTTCTTTCTCTCTTTTTTTCCTTTTACAAACTCTGCGCTTCCCTCAGATTGACACGGACACAGGGTGGATAGGGGCTGGAAGTTTGCACGGGTGGATAGAGTCACATAGGTGGGATAAGTGGGTTTTATAAAGACAATCCCCTACTGCTGAGATGCAATGAAAAAAGCAGCTCTCTGTGCAACCTCGGACACGCCATTCAGCTGCAAAACCTGCAAGGCAAACTTCCAATGAGCCTTGCAAGTTTAACAGGGCTAATGATCGTGGAGGAGACCGCGGTTTAGGCCGCAAACACTTCCCTTTAAAGAAAAGCCAGAGGCAGTTATTGACACATATTTTTTTTTAATGGTTGCAGTGGATCAGCGGTAAAAACAGTGATTTGTTAAGAGGTACAGAAAAGAAAGTGTAGTCATGCAGCAGTGGGGCTCGTTACATCTACCGTTAATGCGTCCTGCATCCACACTCACACAGGTTTTCCTTTAGGAGAAACTGGAGGTATGGGCTAAAAAAGAAGGCACAGTAAAATCAGTTTTCCAGAATTTTTCCATGGTTTCATGGAAGCTGACAGTGGTTCATCTGCTACATTATCACCTTGTCTGTCAATGATCACCCCACCCTGGAAAAGGAATGTCCCACACTCCCTACATCTGGAAGTCAAAACTGATGCTGTAAGAAGCTCCGATAAGAGCAGGGAGAGTGGTGTGTCTCTGAATCACCATCCCTCCCTCATTCATTCCCCCTCAAGTGGTAAGCCTCAGGCGAATGGATTATCAATGGAATCAGCATCACGCTCCATCTCACATCTGCAAAATACCCCGAGGGCGTGGGTTTGAAATTCATTTTGGGGACCTCTGACCTATAGAGGGATAGCTTGCCCAGCTTCCATCTTGGATGGTCTGCTAAAGAGTAAAAAACTGCTGAATGGGATTCCTCACCCTTCAGCGGAGGGAGGTTTTGCTGTATGCCACAGCTGCCAATAGGAGACACGCTGGCTGTAGAGATGATTCATTCAGCAGCATTAGAACTGATTTCAGTTTAGACATACAAATGTAGCCTTTTCACATTAAAACTGCACAGGATGCTTTTTCTTTTTCGGTCTTCGCAGTGTGAATTGCTTGTGTCCACCTGGACAGTACATGCTTTATCTGCTCTCTCTCTCTTGCTGTCAGGTCATTGGCTGAGACTAAAGGAAACATATGGTGCTTGTGGGCTGTGTCATTAAAAATCCCAACTCTGCCTGGTGTACTGTCTGGGGCTTTGCATAAACAAATGGTCTGATTTACAAGTCCTGAAACAGAGTCAGTGTTTTGTGATTTCATATGAGAAATCAGAATGTCCCCCTCCAACAGATCTTTTAAGAGCATTATTAGTCCGTCTTTTGCTGGTGTTCACGTCACTCTATACTTTAAGGTTTACCCCTAGCAGATGGTTAAAGGGTGAGGATTAGGCTTTACTTTATGTTACCTTCATTTGCCAGGAAAAGGCCCTAAGAATTGACTCGTGTATAATGGAACCCCCCCGGGGAGCGGTACACGTCCAAACTAGGCCATGCCTCCTCATTCTCAGACACACACAGAGTCCATTATTTCATTATTTTGAATTCAGTCTAGCCTTGCGAAAAGACACGCTTCTAGTTTTTATCTAATGCATATTTACGGACTCCAAAGTGCAAACATCCATAAACTACAGCAGTCTGGAGTTAAAACTTAAGAACTACATCAGTCCCTGATGCACACATGTAGATGCAGCCAGCCAGGGACACAAATCTTTTTTTATTCCCGGGCCTCAGTGAGCTAAAGGTCTTACTGCTGCCAGCAAACCGCTTGGTGTCATATGGGCAACTGGAGTGTCCGTGGTGTGTTACTGTGTTTGGCTTACTGACGCCTGACAGTTTGTGTTTCCCACTGAGACTGAATTAGAACATGTTAGTACAGAATTATTTATATAGCCTCACACCATGACCACGACTCATCACAAAAAATATTGGCAATAAATTAGGATTTTTAGTCACGGTTTAGCCATCGCATCATCGTCATCATCGCAGCCTAATCTGTGGTGCTTAGTCCTGTTACTGTGTCTAAACGTGTCCCAGCTTTGTATGGCTGTACCTTTTCAGTATTTTTTCAGTCTAATCACTGACCTTGACCATATGCCATATGGATGTCCTGGAAATAAGACTGTTAGTTTCCAAGTCTAATAGTTAACATGTTAGAGCAGGCGTGGAGATGTGTTGAAAAACAGGCGTCGATCGTCTGGACGAGGCTTACGCTCTGCAGTGCTTGCCGTGTGGAGGTGATTTATGAGAGAGGTGGTCAGTAGTGATGGTTGGAGGCTGAACATCACCGGGATTGAGACCAGAGCTGCACACTAATCTTCAAATTCCACACATTTCCTCTTTTTCGCCGTTGTTTCAGTGAATCCAACTTCGTTCTCTACCTGCTGAATGCTTGTGTTTCGTTAAGAGGTGCTTGTGAAGATTTTTAAGGGTATTTTTGACATGGTGGCGAAGAGAGTGCAGATTAGTCTATAGAGGGTCTAGAAAGGGCTAGAAGGAGGAAAGGAAAAGCACACTACTGCAGCACGTTCATGCATAGAGCCTGGTCTGTGTGGCTTATCTTTGTGGAAGTCACAAATCCACAACAGTAGCAGGACAGATTTAAAGTTCTACAGTTTTTCTACAATCCAAGGGTTGGTGGGGCTGCTCCGACTTCCCCAGAGAGAAATCCAAGTTGAGGCATTCCAACAAAAATTCTAACTGGGAACTCAAAGATCCTGACTTCTGAATTAATGTGGAACACATCATTAAGCCAGCCTCAAAGTTGAGATTAGTCTAACTAAGGACACGCCCACTCTACAGTGCTGATGGTTAGCTTGCATGTCATGATTCGAGTTTCTGAATTTACCTGACATATCATGGTCTCTTGCAGCTACAATGTAGTTAGTCTGTTCCTTCAATTTAAAAAATGTAAACTGGCACAGACATTATTTAAGGAGAAGATGTGGCACTCAAACAATCTTGAAGGATCTAGGAGAGAATTCAGAAATACTAAAGACCCACCATCCCAAAGATCCAATCAGCATTAATCACCCGTCATCTCGTGATATTATGAAACTGTGACCGTGCAGTGTAAAACTACAACTCGCGGGGAAAAGTCTTGCACGCCTTATATTTGCCACAAATTTGTTTGCCTTTTAAAGCCATTTCTAAAAGCTATTTTTGCCTGCTTCCTCACCACAAGGGGGCGCCACAGTGGGTAGCTTTGCTTGATTGACGTGGCAGAGTTTTAACTTGAGGCCCTTTCTGACACGAACCCGCTTCACTATGGAGTCGTGCACGTTTGATGTCCCAGTGATCACTGAAGTGAAAATGACTGGTGTCTTCCCATTGATAGGCTGCGTGCTTCAACCCAACTAACTGGATCCAATCCAAGATCGCTGCTGAGTTTCGGGAAACTTTGGTTCTGTTTCATCAGGTGTTTCAGCCAAATGCCATTCACAGCTTTTCTGTGTAACACTGAATCACTGAAAGCACAACTGAATGTTTCCATCATGAATGTTTCCTCCACCTCATCCTGGGTGTGTTTTCTGTCTGCTCAGTTGCTGCTGTCTGTTTTTTCGAGGGGATCAGTAAAATAACTTGTAATCATTAATGTTTCACCGCTTTGTATTCGTGTTTGTTGGAGCTCATTTGCCTTCCTTGCGTGTGACCTTACTGGCTTCGAGGCGAAGTGGGTTTGACTGTAGTTAAATCAACTCTTGGTCTTGTCTTGTTTATGCTCGGTTGCCAGACTATCTTGGCCTGCTTTAAATATTGCTCATATGACGCTGGGACTGATTTGGGTTAAGTTTGTTTATTTAAATAGACGATCGAGGACACTTGGTCAAGTTTGAGCTGTCTCAAGGGCAGAGCATGTCTCAGAAGAAGGAAACTAC